AAGCCCCAGAAAATGGAAACATCTGCTGGAGCTACAAATAGCTGCTCACTGGCTGAGAACAGCGGGAGAGCTCACGGTTAATCATCTGTGCTCCTAGCAAGAATCACTTTAGCCAACATGAATGAGTAAAGAGGTTTTCAGGAGTCGGAGCGATAATGGAGTATCTCTATCCGTAAAGCAGGTGGGGTGGGGAGACCCACACTTCAGTGCAAAAGGAGAGACTTCTCCTTGCTGGTAAGTGTGTGTGACAGAGCGTTCTCCTTACTACTCAAAACGGGATGTCTGCAAATGGGTGGTACTCGGTTTCTTTGTAAATCAGATATTGAATAAGCAGTGCTTGTTGTGCAGGCAGGTGTCAGAATGAAGAAAATCAATTGGCGAGTTGTATTTAACTAAGATGTAAGAAAGTAGAGCAGAACCAAAGTCAACTTAGTGCAGTTTTGAAAAAGGAAGGTAGCAAGATTTACGCTTATTCTAACACACTGCATTGCAATAAGTAATTTGCATTTATACTGACAGAGGATTATCATATTCAGAAAGAGAGGATATAAGAAGGGAGCTTAGTGAATCAAAACGAGAGTATTATATTCTGCTCCAAGATGTCCTCTTTAACCATATCCCTGTTATTCATGCATTATCAATAATACTATAGGGATCATTGCACATGCATCCCTGTGTCTTAAACTTATCCCTTCTTCTACCTAAAGCTAATTATCAACAAATCTCTAACAGAAGTGCTATCTAAATTAACCAATGGAATATTTGTTTTATTTTGATGAATATTAAGTTTATAACACAAGCTCTCCAAACCCATAAAATTTAACAACTTGAACAATCCCTATGAATATGGTATGTGAAGTATAGAGTAGATGAAAAATGTCACAGTGGACTTAATATAATTCTTTAGAAGTCTGGCCAGCTTACAAGCCTAATTATTCTTGCTTAGGTACTGTGAAGGATGCATCTCACGCATCCCTCATGGGGTCCTCCTTCTCAAACTGATTGCCCAAGGTCTTGGAAGGTGTCAAAATTCCTTTCTGCATTGTCTCCAGTCATGTTAGATGAAGATCAACAATTCCATATTCCCATTCCTTAAGAACTCTTATGTGGACACCATCTGAATCTGGTGTTTTGTACATTTTTAATTTGTCAATAAGGGCTAGAACTTTGTCTCTCGTCACCACTATTTGCCATAGTTTGTCTCGGGGCCAAGCCAGCAGGCCTAGTCCTTGATCAAGATAACCTACCACTTGGCCAGGCCAAATGATTATGAATCAGAGATCCAGCCAACCTGGTGTAGCTGTATCTCCCTGAAGGTTGTTGAAGGTTGAAAGAGAGGGGAGATTCCGTGTTTATGTTGAGCTATATTGTGGTTTAATAATAATAATAATAATAATAATAATAATAATAATTTATTTATACACCACCCTTCCCGGTTTAAAAACCGGGCTCAGGGCAGCTAACAGCAAATATAAAACATTGATTAAAATGCAACTTAAAACCAGCATAAAAACAGGATAAAATACAACATAAATGCAACATAAATGCAACATAAATAAGTGATAGGAGAGGAAAGTTTTGAAAGTGGATCTTTCCTTGTGTTGTGTTAACCTACCCTGACATTGAAGGCATTTAATAGAGGAAGAGAGAGAATATATATATATATATATATATATATTATGCAAAGTTCGGTGCACTTGTATTTATACCATATTTGCTGAATGGAAACCAAGTCTCATATGGCACCATCCTCTGGAGTAGACAGTCAGCTATAAATGCCAAGTTCTTTGCATAAAGGATGTAACTGGTAATACATGGGAGGCTTTTATGACCCATCTGAAACCAAATGGAGCAACAGCTGCACAGCGCAGAATGCCCTTTCCACTGATGCAAAGGTGATTTCAGATTAATTCAATATTTCTTTACTCCATATCTTCTCAGCAGCGACAAGATTGCACAGGGTCATATTCTGATCTCACCTTAAGACTCTGACCGTGTTAAAATTGTTCCCACATGATGCTATATCTTCTTTGAGCACTTTCTGACTTTCTTGCTATTTTTAACCCTCCACCCCACCTCTAGGAATCTATCGATTCTTACTTAATAGAGCTGGTTGTTTAGTTTCCCGTAATTGCAAGGTTATTTCTGGTGCAACGTGCGTGTCTCTGTGTTTTTCACCTGCCTTCCCTCCACTAAGCGATCTACCGGTGCTTTTGAAGCAAAATAAAAAATTAAGCTCTTCTCTGCATCCCTGTCAAGTTCAGTATAAAGGGCTGTGCTATTTAAACAACTGTGGAATAAGGTATCATTTTTTAAAAAATGGCAGCATGAGCAGGCATTGAAATCTGATCCAAAAATATTGTTTGTTTGCCTCCTATCCATGTCTCTACGAAAATGTGAAAAGCTTAGGAGTCAATGGAACTCCCCAGTGCCTTGTAGATGCCGTCCATTCACACATTCATATTTATTCCATTAAGTGTAGGACTCCAGAGTTCCATCTCTAAGTTACCAGCATGTTAACAAGCTCTGAACCACCAGAAGCTTTCTCATAACTCCACCAGGCACAGGTCCAATCCTGCTTGGCTCTCCCTATCTGCTACATACTGTTCCTTATTTCCAAAGTGCCTCACCTTAAACCTCATCATTTGAAGCTCCGTACTAGCAAACTTAGCACTAAGTGATGATTCAGATTTGTGAATGGACCATCCCCAGAATTCTAAACTACAGTGCTTTACAGTTGAGATATTTCAAAGGGCTGGCATGTCATCATGTGATGAGCATGCAAACTGTGAGGGGAGAGAGACTGTGTGTTAGCCAGCAGGTAATGGCTTTTCCCACCAGCCTGCTCCCACCCTCCACACCTAGGAGCCTTCATAGGGGAGCTGTTTCCACAGGAAGAGCTGTGAGAGGGGAGAGACCCTAGCTTCAGCCCAAGGAACCTTCAGAAGCAGAGGCATCTTATCCATAGACATTAGTGGTGTGGGGCACCAGGGCGCCATATTTTGGAGGGCGTCACAGGCTGAGTGTTCAGGAAGGAGAGTTAGGGCGTGCTCCCTTCGCCGCTCTGGGGCAGCCTGCTCCTCTCCTCTTAGCCGCCCATCGGAGAGTGCCGCGTCCGGCTCAGGGAAGCCCCTTTGCGTCCCCTCCTGCTTCAGAACTTCTGAACTCTCTTCTTCTCTGGAAGGGTCAGGCTGGGTAGGCGGTCTCCACCATTCCTCCTCTGCCTCGTCCCTGACAGTATCTCTCTTACAGTTTACTGTAGTCCAGGGTCTTCTTTCTGACCTTTTTGGCCACCAGAGCAAAGAGGGTGATTTTATGAGTCACTAAAACATTGACATCACTAAGAAGCCACAGGACCTTCTCTGTTGGGAAGAGACATATTTCCCGTATGGGTGGTTGGGAGAGAAATTGCCTCCTGGGTCAGTGGGCAATATAGTAAATAGTGCAAGGTGTCTTCCACCTGCGGTTGCCCACATATACAGTGTCTGACTTTGTATGGTACCCTGTTGTATCGTCCATCCAGGACGGCGGAGGGAATAGCTTGAAAACACAGCTCGGTGAAAGCGAATCCTATCCCTCTAGGATGTGTGTGAAATGCGAATGACTGAGACCCAGCCTTTGGTCAGACTTTTTCACAATCCCAAATATCCAAAGAGAAGCTTATCCCCTCAACAAGTGACTTGACTCTTGCAAAATGTAAGGAACTCACTCCTCTTCCCACAAATAAAGACTTGGGCAGGAGAACTGTGCACAGCTGAAACAAATACCTATAACAAGATAATAAAAAAGAATAGCTGTAACAAACGCTAAATTTGTCATTTGTCCAGTTTTAATTTTAATTTATTTGAATTAATTTTGGGATGCATTTTAATCGATTGATTGCTTGTTTTTATGCATATTGTATTATTTATATGATGTTAGCCACTCTGAGCCCAGCTCCAGTCGGGGAGGGCGGGGTACAAATAAATTATTATTATTATTATTATTATTATTATTATTATTATTAAATGCACTGCTGTTTTTAGCCCTTTCACCCACATTGAGACTTTTCTCCCGCCACCTCGATAAACAGCAAAACACAAAAACTCCTGAAAGCAAGCCCCCCTTAACTATGTTTCCCCCTCTCGTATTTGAATTCCTCATTAATCTATTTTTTAAAAATTCTGAGCATAGAGGAGCACTCGCCGCATCAAATCTGTAATAATGATGCTCTTATTTTCAGAAGAGGTGAAAAGCATACAATTTACTCTGTGTGGCATTTCTTCTGCCAGCCAAAGATAAAATAGCTATTTTCAACCTCTGTGGCTGTATGGAGTTGATGAAATTGTCTAGTCTTGAATGCATTTTATTTTTTGTTGAAGCTTCACTATTTTTGTTGCTGTGGTTTTTTCCCCCTAGTTCCAATGCACACATACGGAAAGAGCAGTGGAAATACTCTGTGACTTTCACCCATCAGAAAACATTTCCTCCAGAAATTACAGCTCTGTATCAGAGACTGGTAGCTCCGGGATTGTGCGTGTATATTAAGGTTACCAGATGTTTTTCAATGAATCCGGGGACACTTTAATTAAATACATACATACATACATACATACATACATACTGTACATACATACTACATTTGGGATGTTGAAGCTGCAGCAATGGCGGTGGCAGAGGGGCGGCCACTGCCTTGACCTCAACCACCATGTTTTCCCTTCCTCTGAGGCTTCTATCTCCTTTCTCCATGAGCCTGGGCAGCCCCCTAAGTTGTTGGTTCTTCAGTGATGGTAGTGGTAGTGGGGAAGCGGTGCCTGGTGGGTCAGGTGTGGAAGGCGGAGAAGGAAGGCCGAGAGCGGCAGTGGCGGCAAGGCTCGGGCAGCACGATGCCTCCCTTCCCATCAGAGCAGCCCCCACCCCATTCCTACTTGTGTGCAAGCAAGAGGGGACGGGGATCCCTCAGCTGGGAAGGGAGGCTTCACACTGCCTTTCAGAGCAACCCCACCCCAACTCCTACTTGCATGCAAGCAGGAGGGGGCAGGGATCTCTCAGGCAGCGCAATGCCTCCCTTCCCATCGGAGCAGCCCCAATCCCATTCCTACTTGCGTGCAAGCAGGAGGGGGTGGGGATCCCTCAGCTGGGAAGGGAGGCTTCCCGTTGCCTGAGAGATCCCCGCCCTCTCCTACTTGCACATAAGCTCTGATAGGCAGCGTGAAGCCTCCCTTCACAGCTGAGAGATCGCGGCCCCCCCTGCTTGCAGGCAAGTAGGAGTTGGGAGGCTGCTCCAATAGGCAGCATGAAGTCTCCCTTCGCAGCTCAGTTGCTGGGGTCAGGGAAGGTGGAAGCAGCCCGGAAGCTGCATCCTAGAGCCCCTGCACCACCATCATAGGGGGACTTCCGAGCAGCTCCTGAAACTAGCCAGAGCCAACTGCTCTGGGCTGCTGAGACTGCCGCTGCTGCATTTCCCGGGGACATTAGATGAAATCCGGGACATTCCGGGGAATTTGTCCAGGGACTTATTCGCAAATCCGGGGACTGGTAACCTAGTGTATATTCCAAGTATCAGCTTTGCACTGCAGCATGGTTTGTGCGATTTGTGTGATATGGGCATTACAGAAATGGCTTGCAATAAAAAGGGTGCAGCGTTTCTTATTTGCTTGATTTTACCACATCTGTTCTTGCAAAATAAAAATGTCCCCATACCCCACCCAGCCTTCCGTTTGATACAGCAGGATATTTGTTTCATTACACATATAAGACCTCCTAGATAATTTAAATGTATGTGCGTATGTTTGTTTTGTGCTGGTGGGGTCGACTGGGGAGCCTGCCCTGGGTGATGGAAATTTCCTGTCTCTTGAGTGCCTCAGAGGCATCTGCAATACTAAAATGGGATCCTGGAACAAAACGTAGAACTTCAAATTGACACACTTAAGAGCTAAAAGTTGCTTTTCCTCTTTTTAAATTCCGCTTCAGTCTCTGGATCATCCTTAATTTATAGCCAGTTTTTTCTACAACAAAGGGACAGCTGAGTGCTATATAAAACAGTAAAGCAGGAGCAAAAGCAGCCATAACAAGTAGCTGATTGAGGATGACAGGCCTTTCTAAAATTTATGAGATGACGTGAAGTGGAGTAGCTCCTTGTTTAAAGATTTACAGCCAATTTCAAAAATATCTTCCATTACCCATCGACTTGGGAAATCTTGATTTAAGCACATCCATCCATACAGAGGACTTCTGACGGTATAACATAATATGTTTACCTTATCTTTTATAAAATGTGCATGAGTGTCTCTTAGTATTACATCATTTGCTTTAGTAATAATAAAAATGTCCAAACTGACAAGTCACGTTGACTGCAAACTGCCATCATATTAAACCAAGATTTACCAGAGGTTCATGGTAGATCAAGAGTATTACTGAATTATATCTCATGCTTCCCCAGTTGCATAGGTAAGTCTGCACAGAGCATAAATCAGCAGCACGGGCTGACCAAAGCTTTCATTTTCCCTCTAAGCTGCTGAACTATCACCTTTCATAATAAAATGGTTGCCGTCCTGTACTGGAACTGGTGAGACACAGATTCAAATCCATATTCAACCACAAAGCTCAATGGATGGGCCAATCATGATCACTTAGCTAGTTGTATCTCAACTAGGATGATAAAATGGTCATTGAGATGATAAAATGGGAGAGAAGAAACCATGTACACTATCCTGAACTCCCTGGAAGAAGAGAGGGATAAAAATATTATATATATAATCTAGTCCAACTTCCTGCAATTTCTACTTTACAAAGTACCATCCATTATTTATTTATGTATTTCTTTTATTTACTTATAATAATAATAATAAACTTTTATTTATATCCCGCCCTCCCCAGCTGAAGCCGGGCTCAGGGCGGCTAACAACAATAAAATAATACAACATTCTAAAATCATTTCATTATAAAATTAATTCAAATCAAATTGATGGCAACCATTGGGCTAGAGTTCTGTGAAGATTGCCAAAGGAGGGAGTCAGGCTGTGCCCTGGCCAAAGGCTTGGTGGAACAGCTCTGTCTTGCAGGCCCTGCGGAAAGATGTCAAATTCTGCAGGGCCCTAGTCTCTTGTGGCAGAGCATTCCACCAGACTGGAGCCACAGCCAAAAAAGCCCTGGCTCTGGTTGAGGCCAGCCTAACCTCTCTGTGGCCCGGGACCTCCAAGATGTTTTTGTTTGAAGATTGTAAGTTCCTCTGTGGGACATACCAGGAGAGGCGGTCCCGTAGGTACGAGGGTCCTAGGCCGTATAGGGCTTTAAAGGTTAAAACCAGCACCTTAAACCTGATCCTGTACTCCACCGGGAGCCAGTGCAGCTGGTATAGCACTGAGTGAATGTGATTTCACAGCAAGGACCCTGTAAGGAGTCTCGCCACGGAATTCTGCAACCGCTGGAGTTTCTGGGTCAGTCTCAAGGGCAGCCCCATGTATAGCTGCTCTTCTATTAAAAATGTAGGTAAACCATGAAATGTCACATGGGTTTGGGAATGAGTGGAATATTGCCACTCCAAGGTATCAGTTCAACAATTAGTTTGCATGAAAGCTTGGTATAGATTTCCAATGCTGTTCCAAGGGTTATTTTGAACTGCAGCTTGTGGTGTTAAATTAGATCTAGGGAAGACAAATGTCAAGTTATAAATAGTGTGGCTTAACTTAATCATAACATTGTTTTTTTTAAAAAGTTGCTCTTGTAACAATTAATCAACTACAATTAACAATTACCAATCAGAAATGACATGCAGAACAGATAAACACATCAATCTTCCATTTTCTTGCATTCTGATGCTAAATACACACGAGAAGGTCACAGGTTCTCTACCACTGAGCTGAACAAGCTGATCAGATGGGAGTATTCCCTAACTATTAGTAAATAGTGGAGCAGTTCTTATGTGCATGAGGAAGCTGATTCAGGTGGTGGATAAGGCATTGGGGTGGATCCTTAGTCTATTGGATACCCCATTAAAGGGATACAGGAATGGAAGTCTCTGGAAGTCCACAGGGGGCAATGAGCCATAGCACACTTCAGAGTGGTGGTTCTGATGGGCTCACCTCAATTTGATGCACTTCATAGGGTGGTGACCCTGTCAGTTTGCATTTCTGAGTGCAGAAAGTACAGTGGTACCTCGGGTTAAGAACTTAATTCATTCTGGAGGTCCGCTCTTAACCTGAAACTGTTCTTAACCTGAAGCACCACTTTAGCTAATGGGGCCTCCTGCTGCCGCCTCGCCGCTGGAGCACCATTTCTGTTCTCATCCTGAAGCAAAGTTCTTAACCCGGGGTACTATTTCTGGGTTAGCGGAGTCTGTAACCTGAAGCGTATGTAACCCGAGGTACCACTGTGTTGGTCTGATGTGTAGAGATCTTTCCTATTCTACTTAATTCAAGAAGCTTCTGGAAGCTTCTCTGTGTGAAAGAAACAAGCAGAAGGTTCGTGATGTTTGGGTTATTTCTTCAGAGAAGCTGAGTACAGCTGGCTTAAACTGGTTCTCTTTTCTCTTCTGTCAAGTTCATGCTGACAATAAAAGTAAGGCCAGAAGGAGCCTGGGTTTCATTTTCTCTTTCTATCTCTTTTCCTACATAGCATGTTTCATGTTAAGGTTTTAGACTTATTTAAGTCAAGTCTGCTGCAACTGGATTTCTTATGGATAGTGCCAATCCTGAATGTATTGGATTTGCGACCATTATGCTCATTTGCCTTCAGCAGCAGTAAAGCTCTGCTAGATGAAAACGTGTTTAAGTTTTTACTCTGCTAAATCTACACTGGAATTGGCTCTGGATCAATATTGTGTAGAATTTCAATGACAGACCCCAGACCCAGGGATGACCCAGCCTCCTATGAGTCAGCAGGCGGGTTGGTTGATACTTAATGCCTTCACCAAAACCTCACCCCAAGCAAAATTGCTCTACAGTATAGATGGGATTTTGTGGAAATCAGATAAATTGTATCTGATCTTGGGGGGGGGGGGAGTTCATCTAATGGCTGCCTATACCTTGCATGCGGAATCTTTTTTTTTAGAGCATCGCTAGGGGAGAAACTTGCATTTTCCGCTTGGTTGTCTCTAAATTAGAGATCACATACCTAACAAAAAGCACAATATGAGGGGATAATTAATAGGTGGATGAGGACCACTGGTCCATATAATAAATATATGAAACCAAATATTTTATGTTAGTTGGGATCAGAATCATATTTAGGCAGCCTAGCTAGAAATGAACCAAATAATCAGAGATGGTGATGACTTGGTCCCAGCGGCTAACACTAAGTATCCCTTCTGAGGTTACATTTTGGATGTGAGAACCAATACAGTGTGTTCCACTCCCACTGTTCTCATCTCAAAAAAGTGTATCTAAATACATTTAAATAAGTAGTATCTAAATGTGTATTTCCCCGCATTTCTTAAACCATAGGTGAATGTGGAGGTGGGACAGAATTGAATTAGAGATGAACATATGCATATGGGACATGGATTGCCAACAGACTGATTTGACCCACCCCTAGACGAATCTAAATTGTGTCTGCTTCCCACACTAAAGGTAAAGGTATAGGGACCCCTGACCATTCGGCCCAGTCGTGACCGACTCTGGGGTTGCGACGCTCATCTCGCTTTATTGGCTGAGGGAGCCGGCGTACAGCTTCCGGGTCATGTGACCAGCATGACTAAGCCGCTTCTGGCGAACCAGAGCAGCGCACAGAAATGCCATTTACCTTCCCACCTGGAACGGTACCTATTTATCTACTTGCACTTTGATGTGCTTTCGAACTGCTAGGTTGGCAGAAGCAGGGACCGAGCAATGGGAGCTCACCCCGTTGAGGGGATTCGAACCGCCAACCTTCTGATCGGCAAGTCCTAGGCTCTGTGGTTTAACCCACAGCACCACCGCATCCCTGCTTCTCACACTAGCATCACCTTAAAGCTGGAATTACTTTGGCAAGGAAAGCAGGTATATTGCAGACATCTCCCATCTGACTCCAATCATCCAATCTTCAAGAGGAAAAATAACACCCTGTCTCTCCCATCTCCCCAGCCAGCATTATGAAACCTTTAAATATGTGCGCTTACTCAGTGTTCCAGCTACAAATGTCTGAGTCAGTTTTGCAGTTGGAGTCAGATAGATAAAGAGCAACCATTACACATCATAAGTTTTAAATATATATT